AAAAAAAAAAAAAAAAAAACTCACTTGCCATTACACAAAACTGTTTTCTCAAGAATAGTTATGATCTGTACAGTGTATCCATAAAGTTCATGTGCAATTTAAAGTGGTTTAACATAGAAATTGCACATGAACTTTATGGCAACCCTGTACATAAAAAAATGGAACTGTGGTACTGTATTAATAGACAAGACCCTAACAATCAAGGACATAAAATACCTGGATAAAATCTCTCCAGAAACCCAATTAAGTGAAAATTCCTGACAGTAAATAAACTCTTTCAGAGACTTTGAAGGAGCAGCTGCTCTAGAGCAGTACCTGGAGCCAGGAGGCTGCACACTCCAACACAGGAATTCGACACACAGCCACAGCCATAGAGACCAGTTTTCCCAACAAGCTCATCCGGCTGTCATCTGCTTTGTTCCCTTGAGGGCTGAAAAGTGATGAGAAAATAATCTGCCGGACAGAGTCCTTGGTTTGCTCCTGGAAATAATTGCACATGATTTCAAGAAGTTGAAGCTCCTGAAGTGAATTCAGTCTCTGGAAAACAAACCCAGGAAAAGTTGTAAGAAATTTGTCTCTAATATGATTCTTAATTCACACGGTAAGAAAACAGGGAATATATTATTTTTACCAGGGTACCCTTCTGAAGCTCTGGCCCTAGGGAATAGATCTTTGCTATTAATTTCAGCAAAAAGTCACATATATCATTATACATCATGCCGAAGACTCAGGATGACCCACAACAGTCTGAGTCTCTCCATAACAAGCTAACAGGCCTTTAGCGAGTGGGCAGTCTCCAGAGTAAAGACTCGGCTGTCACACGCCCGACTAAACAGCCACCCAATTGAGGAAGGGTCGAGGCTGCCGCAGGAGTACGCCAAGGGTGAGAATGGAGCTCGCCTAACTAAGGGTGTGTGCGGTTTGACAAATACTCGTCAGCACTAGGGGAAGGACACTAGTCGGCTTATCCAGAGCACACTAAGGGTAGCCACCCGTCCGCTGGCCGCTGGCCGCTGGCCGCTCTGCTGCACCTTGGGCTGCGCGCCGCGCTCCTTGGGCACCTGGAACACGAACTCCTCCAGCAGCTCCACGGGGCCCTTGTCCACTATGGGCAGCGGCGCGCTCTGCAGCTGGTTGCTGAAGTAGATGTCCAGGTGGTATAGCACCTCCTTGGCGGCGCTCAGCGCGTCGCGGCGCAGCAGCGAGTGGCGGATGTCGCTCATGGTGCGGCCGCCGCGGCCCCAGCGCGGAGCGCGTTCCACTTCCGCCAGGAGCCCGGGGACCCGCCGCCGCCCGTGGAGACAAAGAGGCGCGACCCAGGCCTCCGCCCCGACCCCGGGCCTGGGCCGCGGCACCCGCCCGCCCGCCGCTACCTGCTCCCGGCCTGTTCAGGGGGCCATCACCGCCGCTGCCGGCCGGCTGGCGCCCGGGAGTCCGACTGCGGCGCCGCTGAGAGCCGCGGAAGCCGACGCCGCGCAGCCGAACGGCGGCAGAATGCCGAGCGCGGCAACGGCAGCCTGTAGGGGCCAAGCGCAGGCCGCGGCCCGGGCACGCTCTCGGAGGGCGCCCCCTGGCGACAATGCCCGGCGCGGGGTGGGGGCGGAGAAGGGCTAGGCCTAGGCCACGCCCCCCCACGTGCCACGCCCCCAGGCCGTCAGCCAATCTTTGGCCCAAAGCCGGTGGGTCCGGAGCCGCCCAGGTGAGGGGCTGTAACACCCACCAGCGACTGCCCTCAAGCCTTTCGAGGTTCCCTAGTGTGATCGGTGTTCATTGTCTCCGCTATTTCATTACACCTTGCTTTTCCACCGCCAAGGATAGGGTGGTAGTACAGGTTTGGGCTTGGGACCAATGCACTTGGGTTCCCTCCTGCCCCAGCGATCCATCTTAAAGATCACATCTGTTCTAACCTCACGGACTGTTATGACAGATGATGGCTAGTAGGAGCCTCTCTCCTACCCTGACTCCTATTACCTGTCCCCAGGGTCCTTATTCCCCAGCCCTCTCCACAGGTCCGGGCATCTCCGGATGCCTGCTCCTTGGCTTAAACTGGGAGGGCCACAGGAATCTTAAGACAGCCAGCAAGGTCCAGCCCACCTGTGTCCTGCTCCTAAAACCTCTCCCACACTAAAAACCTTCAGCACCTTTAAATGACTTCTTTTCCTGCATTCGTCTTTCTGCTCTGAACTGGTTTTGGAATTTTTTAAACAGGGAAGGAAAGATTTGAATATGGCCAGAAGAGGTCAGTGGAGAACAGGTAGAAGGCCACAAATACAGCAATGTGCCTCCTGTAAAAGACCTATCTATACTGTCTCCAAGGCAGACCTGGAGGAGGACCAGGGTTGTTGTTAAAGATATGAAAATCCCTTGCAGAGAGGGGACAGAGAATAGGGACAGGCATAAACAAGAGTGCAGCCAGGCCCAAGGCCAAGAAATTGAGTCATCCAGACTTAGCGGCACATCAGGAACATGGCCACAAGGCCCCTCCTGTTCAAGAGCCCAGAGTTTAAAAAGACCAAGGCCTCAGTGTCACCTGGAACCTCTGAGAAGTCCTCTCTTGAGTCCCTTGATACCACAAGTTCACAAACTGCTATGATAGATGCTTGGGTCCAACAGAGGATAAGCAAAGGGAGGGGAAGTCCACTACAGCACCTGGCAGAGATTTAAGAACATTTCCTTCCTTCCCCAGTGAAAGCTGATTTACAAACACATAGTAAAATCAAAACAAACAATGCTTAGAAAATAAGTATCCAAATGTATAAATAAATGTATACTACATTTAAAAGGCAGTAACGTTCTTTCCATTCTTATTTTTTCTTTGTCTCATAATGTAGAAACACAGGTAGAAAGATCTCTCGAAAGTTGCTCCAAAGCCCACGGGAATAAATGTTCTGATAGACTTGGTGCTTAGCTGATGGGGCCCCAGCCACAAGGGGACAATGCTGGCACCAGTCCCAGGCACCTCTGAACCACTCATTAGTAGTCTGGTTGGTGGCAGCCAGGTATAGAGCAAGGCACAGGTAGCCACCCAGGAGGAAGCTCAGGACCAGGACAAATCCCAGCATGAAGACAATCCTTGGAAAAGTCACGAACAGGTACTGTGGACAAAGAAGGAGAGCACATTAGACAGCTGGACTGTGCCCTGTGACATCCATAAGGGTACACACCCACCAACCCTGGTCCTATTCATAGACACACCAGAGCTGCCTCCTCTGCCCACCTACCTGAGTTCAAGTATGACCCACTGAACATAAATCAGAACCATAAATAGCATCCACAAATAGCCCGTGAACAATGTCAGTAAGTACAAGAGTTCACTATGGGATAAAGTGCTCACATTCAGGGAAAAGAGAAAAGTTACTTAGGAAATAGGGCCATCCTAGTTAGCTATTTATAAGATAAACAAATAAATTTAGTGTACTGATCAAAATAAGATCCAGATGAATAATAAGAGGTAAATGTCTCATTTAATACAACCACAAAAATACATATATTCATTGTAATCTTGATTAAGGATATTCACTGTAATCTTGATTTAAGCAGTCCGTCTTCCCATAAAAAACAAGTTAAATCTCCACTATTAAAGGAAGAGTAAAATAAACCCTGGAACCCTTATTATGGCATAATAAGGAGCCATTAAAAATGTCAAGGCTGGGTGCAGTGGTTCCCTGCCTGTAATCCTAGCACTGTGGGTGGCCAAGGTGGGAGGACTGCTTGAGGCCAGGAGTTCAAAACCAGCCTGAGCAAGAAAAAGATCTCCATCTCTACAAAAAAAAAAAAAAAAAAAAGAAA